ACCAGCTGATCAGAAAGGCAAACATCAGGCAGGCTCCCATGAGCTGAGGCTACACGTGGCTGTTACTAGCACCGATGGGCTCTGCTATGGCTCACACAGGGACGCACTATGGGAGGGCAGAAGCCGCAGACGCTCCCCGTGCTAACAATCACTGGTAAGGGCGGGGTCCGATGTAAGTGCCGTCAGCCAAGGAGCCCGCCTTGGGCCACGGAAGCGGGGGACCCCCGCGCACATCCTCCGAGGGCCCCTCTGACTCGGAGTTTACCCTCCCCCCAGTTCGCCTGACCTGAAGGATCCGCCCGCGGGGGCAGAGAGAGGGGCTTGGGGCGGGAGGTCTGCTCGGACCCAGGCAGGCCAAGGAGCGTGTGGCAGGGGACCAGTGCAGGGGGTACGGACCCGGCTCCCCCCGCCGCTCAGCGGGAGGGAGAGTCTGTGGGGAGGGGATCGGCACTCAGACTGAGCTCTGAACCGAGCTGCCCGCCCTTGCACCAGTACCCGGCTGTACCGCGTCCCCACCACCTCCGTGGCTCCGGGCCCTGATGCCCCGCGGCTGCTTCCCGCGAACGCGCCGCGCCCCCCGGACCATCAGGCTCCCGGCCCCGACCGCGTGTGCGGACTCACGGGAGCGGGAGTCACACACCGACCCCGAGAGGTCCCCGCACAGCTGGCAGCGCCCAATAACCCCGCCCAGACTCACCGGCTCCCTAGCTAGGGCCCCTGCGCTCACTCGCCGGTCACCGGCTCCTCGGTTCCAGCGGCTCAGGCTCCACTTGGAGCTCCGCCCTCTCCGCACAACCAATCCCGAGCCGTACAGGCACAGTACTGACCAATCACCGCCGCGCCTGCGAGAGGCGGGACCTAACCTGCACCTCATTCGTGGGACAGAGCGCCGCGGCCTAACCGGCAGCCGCCGGCCTCGGGTCTGGGTGTGACGAGTTGCCCCCGCCCACGCCCTGTGATTGAAGGGCGCCTGCCAAGAGCCAAATCCGTGACGTCGTCTCCTGGGCGGTCCGGCAAGTCTTGATTGGTTGTTCAGCCTGTGCGCGCGGGCCTGAGATCCTGTACGCAGTGCTGACATGCTGCTGGCCCAGGTGAAGGATTCAAGGGCAAAGCACCCATAGGGGGTGGCACCGCCACAGAGATCCCTGCGGGCACATGGACCTTGTTGCCTGTGTGCTCCTGTCCCCGCCTGTCGGATCAGCTTCGCTCTGGGACTAGTTCTGCTGCGGGTTGGTCTCCTCCAGCGCTGGGTGCTGTTGTGTTTGGGTTTCCAGCACGGCACAAAAATAATTATTTTTTAAAAAGTCAGTGAATGGTTTATTCTAAACCCATAACATATTTCTCTTCGTCTTATTATTATTTTAACAAAAGATTAATCTGGGGGCTAAAATTAATCCCTCCCTTTCGCTATTCATGGTTTGCGTGCACAGAAAAGCAAAGCATTTTGTCCGCTCTGTACCCGTATGGCTCATTGGCATGGTGTGACACTGGGATTGTACCACAGGAAGACTGGTTGAGCTTATCCTTTTTTCTGACTACTATTGAATACATCCCTGCTTGGGATGATTTATATATCCATTAGTTGGTGAGAAACGGCATGCATGCATGTTTGTTATAAATTAAAGGAGGCTGATCTATATGAGTAGCAAAAAAATCTATTCTTGACCCTTCTAAAAGCTCTTGTGATAGATATTTAACTGCATGTGATATCTTTAGGGACCATGTTTATGTATGTATCACTGTGAGCATTATATGCAACTGCAGGGCAGGAGGGTGACCACAGCTCCTCTAAGAAATAAAAACAGCAGGGAGTGATTAAATCGAGTCATAGACTCATAGAAGATTAGGGTTGGAAGAGACCTCAGGAGGTCATCTAGTCCAATCCCCTGCTCAAAGCAGGACCAACACCAACTAAATCATCCCAGCCAGGGCTTTGTCAAACCGAGCCTTAAAAACATCTAAGGATGGAGATTCCACCACCTCCCTAGATAACCCATTCCAGTGCTTCACCACCCTCCTAGTGAAATAGTGTTCCTTGATAGCCAACCTAGACCTCCCCCACTGCACCTTGAGACCACTGCTCCTTGTTCTGTCATCTGCCATCACTGAGAACAGCCTAGCTCCATCCTCTTTGGAACCCCCCTTCAAGTAGTTGAATGCTGATATCAACTCCCCCCTTACTCTTCTCTTCTGCAGACGAAATAACCCTAGTTCCCTCAGCCTCTCCTCGTAAGTCATGTGCCCCAGCCCCCTAATCATTTTCGTTGCCCTTCACTGGATTCTCCAATTTGTCCACATCCCTTCTATAGTGGGAGGGACCAAAACTGAACACAATACTCCAGGTGTGGCCTCACCAGTGCCAAATAGAGAGGAATAATTACTTCCCTTGATCTGCTGGCAATGCTCCTACTAATACAGCCCAATATGCCATTGGCCTTCTTGGCAACAAGGGCACACTGATGACTCATATCCAGTTTCTCATCCACTGTAATCCCCAGGTCCTTTTCTGCAGAACTGCTGCTTAGCCAATCAGTCCCCGGCCTGTAGCGGTGCATGGGATTCTTCCTTCCTAAGTGCAGGACTCTGCACTTGTCCTTGTTGAACCTCATCAGGTTTCTTTTGGCCCAATCCTCCAATTTGTCTAGGTCACTCTGGACCCTATCCCTACCCTCCAGCATATCTACTTCTCCCCCCAGCTTAGTGTCATCTGCGAACTTGCTGAGGGTGCAATTCATCCCATCATGTAGATCATTAATAAAGATGTTGAACAAAACTGGCCCCAGGACCGACCCCTGGGGCACTCTGCTTGATACCTGCTGCCAACTAGACATCAAGCCGTTGATCACTACCCGTTGAGCCTGACAATCTAGCCAGCTTTCTATCCACCTTATAGTCCATTCATCCAATGCACACTTCTTTAACTTGCTGGAAAGAATACTGTGGGAGACCGTATCAAAAGCTTTGGTAAAGTCAAGATATATCACATCCACCGCTTTTCCCATATCCACAGAGCCGGTTATCTCATCATAGAAGGCAGTCAGGTTGGTCAGGCATGACTTGCCATTGGTGAATCCATGTTGACTGTTCCTGATCACCTTCCTCTCCTCCAGGTTCTTCAGTCAAGTGCTTGAGTCACTCAGGTTGAGTCACTAAAGTTGTAAATGCCTCGAGAGAGGTACCGCCATATATTGTTTCAAACTGTGTTTTTTGGCATAAAAAGGTGAGCTTGACCCAGCACAGACAGAATGTTCTTTCCAAGGAAGGGGAGCAACTCTAGGGGAACAGGGGAAGGATTGGAAAGACTGTGGTCTACTGAGCTCCATAAGACTGATTGATAACTCCTGGTACATTTAGTGTGTTT